GGTGTATCTTATATTGCCAGCTAGTCTATAAACTCCCAAAGGGTAGGGCTACACTACATTTGTTGTGTTTCAACAGTGTCTAGAACAAATGAGGACTAGCAGCCTAGTCACTCAGCAAATATCTGCTCCATGGCTGAATGATAAGTAAATAATTCAAGGAAATAAAGGAACAAAGAGCAAGATAAACTTATCAGCATGAGCTGTGAGTTACCATGGTACTTGTTCCCCATATTATCTGGTACTCAGAGAAGCATGAAAGAGCAGACTGATAAATAGTAGTCTAATGATGCTAAATATGAAAAGGAAGTTGTTTCTCACTACCTTTTCTCAAAGTACCTTCATCATGTTTGGTACTTAATCTCCAAATTAAAAAATAGAAGCCTCTTGGTGGCCAAGTTTATATCCTTTTTGTTTCTTCCCTAAGGACCAAGTGGGAATTAAGTGTAAACAAGAAAAACAGTTTGACAATAAAATTCTAGTAGATGTTCCTGACCAATCTGAAGTTAAAAAAATGTCCCTGGACAAAATCCTAGAATTAACATAATCAAACTATTTATACCCCAACAAGACTCAAAGTCAACTTTCTTTTCTCCTTTACATATACCATGGATAATACTGACCTACTTTGCAGAGCTATCATGATGATTAATCAGCTTTAAAAAGCTAAGCACATCAGAGATGAAGAGTGCTTATGATACATATCATTACCACTTTTACAATTAACAAATGAACCCAGCCTCTTGTTTTACAATGCAAGCCACTATGTTAATTACTTAAAAGTAATACTGTACATTTTTTAAAGGTCACAAATAATGCCTCAAATTAACAAGTATGCTCATTAACAAGTATATATTTTCTAACACACTCAAATGCCTTTAAGAAAATAGGCTGAGGACTGGTTGAGTGGCTCAAGCAGTAGAGCACTTGCCCAGCAGGCATAGGGCCAAGTTCAAACCTCAATACTGAAAAAAAAAAAAAAAGAAAGTTGGCAGAGGCCAGACATGGTACAGCCTGTGATCCCAGTTACAGAGACGCATAAGTAGGAGGATCGAGTTCAAGGCCAGCACTGGCAAAAATGCAAGACTCTATCAGAGTCTAAACTAAAGCAAAAAAGGACAGGGGATGTGGTTTAAGTGGTAGAGCACCTGCCTGGCAAGCTTGAGATCCTGAGTTCAAACCACAGTACCACCAAAAAGTTAAAAAAAAACAGTAGGCTGAGTATCACAGAAAACAGTAACTTTTGATTAACCACACCAGAAAATTATTAAATGAAAGCTGTTCCTGGTCCTTGGACCTCTGAACCATAAGGCTGTCCACCTAGCTACAACAGAATGCCAGGCATTCCACTGGGTTTGATTCCTATTGGTATCACCAACATCTGAAAGGCCCATGCAGCCTCCCAGATGCCTGCATTCCTAATGAGGAAGCAACAGGGTCCCGACAATTGCAATGTCAAGATCTGAACATCTCCTATGGCACCTACTGCCTTCATTTCGGAGTTATGCACTTCAACAACAGGAAGTCATTACAGGATTCCTTCCCTTGCCTTTCAGCTCAGCTAGTTTGCTTTTTAGCAAGTACTGATTGAGAGGACATTACTGCATCCTTCGGGTGCCCAAGAGCAGCCTGATAAGCTAGTTGAAAGCATTACTTTCAGCATTAGCAGCAATCAGTTTGGGGAATTGAGGCTTTGGACGTTCTGCTTTATAAGCCTCATTTATCAAACAGCAGGACAGCTGTTACATATGGTGATGGGCACTATGGAAGTGCTTAGATTGAATACAAAATGCAAGTGAATTGGATTAAATTACCTGCAAGAAAGAAAAAACCTAACTCAGGAGGAAGCAAAAAAAGAACCAATCATAGATATGAACCTTAAAGGGTCACACAGAAATTTTAGAGCCTGCTTACAAAAGGTTTTCTGGGGTGTCTACATAGCATTTTTTTTTAATTTAGCAGAGTCAACTTAGATTAAATTAATTGCACCCACCACAGTTCTTGCCTACTTAATAGGAAAATTAAAGGACATTTACATAAATTCAGACATCTGTAATAACACAAGGATTAGCTTATGCCACAACCCCAATACTGGAAGTCAGAGTATGCATGGGGACAGGAAAGAGGTGTCTATTTAGCTAAAAGTAGTGTGTATATGCAGCTGTGTGGAAATAAGAGAGGCACAGTAATCTGAGGTAAAACTGAATTTTTTTCAATGGACAACCAGTTTCTATTTTAGCTTAATAAAAATTTCAAGATTTACTTAATGTTCAGTTATAAATCACTGTACTAATTTTAAAAAGCACTTTAAAAAAACCCTTCCTGTTTTATTTGCTTGCTTTATTAAAAAGGGGTAATAAGTACATGTCTTCTCAAAGTGCCAGTCTCTAACTCTGTCTTATGAAATTATAAGGTAAATTCCAGTACTAATCCTCCTATACTGCCTCAAATCACTGGAACTACCTCTGACTGGGGAAGAGGGATGAGGTTGGTATCTGACTGTGAGGGTGAGACTGAAGTAGAGAAAAGTATATGGGAAGGGGACATAAAAAAAAGAGCTGTAAGACAATGCTTTATTTAAAGTTGGACGTGAGTTTAGATGGCATTTTAATATTCTTCAAGGAAAGATGGATGCTTCTGAGAATCCAGGCCTCTTTGTCCTTGGCCCAAGCACAAATGGATGAGTCACAGATACACCTAAGCTAGAACCCTAGGCTGCCTAACACACTGGGAAAATATTCAGGGCCTGCATAACCAAAAAAGTGACCTCTTCCTACTACACACAGAGATGCACACAAAGTTGGTCCCAATAGGACAGTAGTAAGGTAAAACTGAATTTTTCTGTTTTCCCAAGGAAAACAGAGTAGCCTCAGGGGCATCAACAGCAGTAGGAAACTGTCAGATATTCTCAAGGGGAAAAAAAGGGTCCCCATGACTCTTAAACTCACTGTGGAGTACTTAATACCTCCTCTCTGTCACATCTACAGAATGTATCCGTATGCCTCATAGCTGTGTCAGTCAGAGACAAACTGAATAAACAATTTGTAGACTGGCAAGACAAACTCAAGGCATATGGTTAAAATAGAGGACCTTCCCCCTGGGGCATCTCCTATAAGCCACCTCTTCCAACTTTCCTTCTCCTGGGACAGGGCAGACTGAGTGGCTCCCAGAGTCATCAATATTTTTTTAGGGGGATAGGTAGGACTAGGGTTTAAACTCAGGGCTTCTCACTTGCAAGGCAGGTGCTCTACCACTTAAGCCATGCCTCCGGTGTGCTTGTTATGGTTATTTTGGAGATGGGGTCTCTCCAACTATTTGCCCAGGCTGGCCTGGAACCTCAATCCTCCAGACCTCAGTCTTCCAAGCAGCTGGGATTACAGGCATGAGCACAGGCTGAGTCATTAGTATTTTAAACGAAAATAAAGTTTTAAGGAAGCAATGAATCTTCCATGCTTGTGCTATTTAGCCACCCCAGATAAGAAGAGAGATAGATCCAGTCAATAAAATGGGTGTTGAGGGCAGACATTAGTCCACTCCCACATAGTACTGCGAAATGAGAAAAAGAAATCTTAGTTTTCCACTTGTGTTCAAAACCATCTAAGCCCCTTGGAGGTAGAGCGCCACAGAGCTCACTTCTCTTCATATTCTCAAAGCCTTGAAGGAAATAGTTGTACACTTACTTTTAAAAAAAAATCTGCCCTATTTCAAAATCAACTGATCTGAGTAATGATGTTACATTGAAATCTCAGACCTGCCATAAGAAACACCCCCTGGGGAAAGGGCTCTCATCCAGCCCCCTTCCATTCCTACAGGTAGGTTTCCCATAACACAGCCAGTCTGCCACTGCTAGGCGAATGCTGTACCACTGAGTTACATGCCCAGCCCCACTGTTTCCCTTCCGTGTCTAGGGGCTCTGCAGGTCAGGATGCTCAACAAGCCCACAAAGAAAACACTTATTCTCTTTTTCTCACTCATCGAAAATAAACCAAAAAGGTACCCAGATTTAGAACACACCTACCAATGAAAAAGTTAAAGGAAGAGAGGGAGGCACCCACCCACATAATCTTTCCATTCAAAGAGGCAATTCCACAGCTGCCATGGAGTTTATAATTAACAGACAAGCTTAACCAACAACAGAAATTTCTGGAATCGCTTGTAATTTACACTAGAGTCTGGCTTATTCCAAAGTTAAATCACAACCATGGGCTGGATTCTATGGCTGAATCTGAATGACTTCATGGCATCCTCCAGCTCATATCTTTTGTAATCACTCAGCCCTGCTGGTAGAGAACAGCTACAGGATGACCAGGTACTGGTTGGGCCCAGTGTGCAGCTGCTCCATGTGCTCACTCACATCCAGAGGCACAACTGCTTACCACTGGCTCCTTGGAGCTGTGTCAGAAGGCTCCAACGGAGATGTCAGATTGCATTCATATGTATTCACCACGGTGCCTCCTACAGGTATTTGCTATGGATGTACTACAAGGGTTCTGTTTCCCTTCTCACCTGCCACTGCCACCCCAGGTTCTAGACGAAGGGCAATGAGGCCTGTCTGAGCACCTGACTCTATAGAAGATGGAGCCACGGAGAAACCATAAGGTAGCTTTGTGGAGTCTTCTTTACTATCTGATTCTATTTCAGCAAGAACTGCAATATTAGTTCTTAATATTTATATATAACAGGAAGTCTCCTCCGTTTATAGGAAAGGGAACTAAGGCTCAGAAATAGGAAGATACTTGTCCAGGGCCACGCTACTATTTCCTTGTAGATAAAAAAAACTAGACCCCAGTTTTCAAGCTCTCAGTCTAGGCATCTGTCCTTGTAACTCCAGCGACATTATAGGGTTTTCCACCAGTGGTGAAAATTGAACACAGCATGATTTGTGGGGCATGAAGTAGAGTTGTCAAGGCACTGCATTAGAGTTACCCAGATTGCTTCCACTATGAAAGAGTACATATTATAATCCCCATTTTAGGTCAGAGAAGGTAATGCCAATAACTTACCTGACTCCAGAGTTCACCTCTAGGAGTCTGCCACCTCTAGGAGTAAGAAAAGATCTCCCAGTTCCCAAAATATTCCCTTCAAAGGCTGGCCAGGTTGAGCACAAATCCTTCAAGAATCACTGAAGTGAAGTGGCCAAAGGATCTCTGAGTTCTACCTGAGTGATTCAGAGCAAGCTGTTGGGTTGTGACCTGCCACCAACCCCTCTGTAGGCCCATTGTTTGACACTGGCTCTCACCTAGGGAAACAGGGCACATTTAGGAGCTTAACGTGAGAAAAGTGAGGTTTAACATGAGGAGAAAGAAGACTTTCCTTTTTAATATTTTCCAGATGATAATTTGTAAAAGTCAAAAATCTTCATGTCACCTTTGTGGTACTTGTACATTATACTTTTATATTATAATCATGGATAAAACATAGAATACATAGAGTTTACTGATTTATGAATTGGTGGCTCTCTTATCTGATTTTTAGTGAAAAGCAGGATCATTTGAAAATCTGCAGTTTAAGGCACACTATACATGGAAGGGTATTTGTCAGCTGATGATTTTACAAACCCTCTCCTTGAAAGCCCAAGAGTTAGGGCCTACAGTCTAGGAAAACCCATGGTATTGCTGCAAGTGAGCAGACCTAGTGCGCATCTCAGAGAGGGAACCTGGGGCAGAGAGGGAGGAAATGGGAGATCACTAAGCACACTTCACACACTGTCATTTTGCTTATGACAAACTGTGAGGGCCTTTTTCCAATAACTAACATAAAAAGTAAGTTACAAACTAATACTGTCATTTGGACAGGGAAACTGTGGCACACAGTCACTTACTATGGGAGATAGTAAATGAGAGGGAGACAGTGTCACAGAAGAAAATTAGCTCATCCTGATACCAAGTTTACTTGCCTAAGTGAACACACATGAGTAAAACCATCTAAAAAAGACTGAACTTTTTTGTTGTTTGGTTAGTTTTGTTTTTACACAGGCTAGATAGTCCAGGCCAGCTTTGAACTTCTGATCCACTTGCCTCAGCCTCCTGAGTGCTGAGATTTCAGACAGGCAACACCACACCCATCTAAACTTCTTCATGGAGCTTCGGTGTCTAGATTTGATCTGGGCTGAATGAAAAGGACAGCAGGTAACAAAGAAAATGTCACAAACGTGATAAATCATGGGCACAATTTAACACCCTATTATTTCTCACCAAAAGAGACTCATTTAAACAATATCACTACTGAGAGTATCTCACAAATCCATGCTATACTCAAAATCAAACTTAGATTCTTTAAAAAATAAAGCAGGGAAAATTCAAACCAACAGACTTTAAATACACATAGCATCGATCATGAATAAATACAAAACACTAAATTTAAGGAGACCCCTACCTTTCCACTTTATCCTCTCCAACCAACCTCTATTACCAGTCCCAGTACCCTAGTCAGCATGCTCAGACCAGGTGCTGCTCCTCTACAGCCACACCACTGGGTGTACTCAGCATGCAGTCACATCCTCTTTCTCACACACACACGCTTGTGCCAAGATCCTGCTCATTCTTCCTACTCACAGCAGGCTGAATCTCGTCTCTCCATCCTTCACTCCCAGCATTTGTCCACTTGCCACACCCAGACTTCCATGACAACATTTGCCATGGGAGGATGACTGGAGCTATCTTATCATTCATCTTTCTAGTCACAAAACACAGCACTGTGCTCACACCAAACACTTTACAATGGCACATGACAGAAGCAAAGCATGAATAGATAATTAAGGAGAAAAACTTCTCATATTGATTGTATGAGGATTAGCTGTTCACAAAACTGTTTTAATAGTTTAGCTTTCAACTACTGGAGAAATCAACTAACTCATCACCTCTCCTTCACTGATAACTGATATTACATGTGTGACAAAATAAGATGAAAGAGACGTCTGTTCTTCCACCAGAAGGCTGGAATTAGACACAACAGTTCCAAACAGTAGGGAGCCCTGCACTGCTCCAAAGAACAGGAGCCTCCCTGAAAGATAAACCCTTGGTGAGAAAAGCCAGCCACTGCCATCTGCCAGCCATTCCATTTCCCCTCATAATCCAGGTAACGAGATGCACTCACCTGGCTTGTTCCCTTCTCTCTCATGGCCCAGCTGTCCCTTGGTGTTCAAACCACACGTGTAGACCTCTCCGTCCTCCAGCAGGAACACAGAGTGGTTTCCCCCACAGGCCACTTCCTTGACACTCCTGTCCGATATGAATCCACACACCTGTGGCTCAGCCACAATTCCTTGCAGGTTGGTGCTGATACCTGGTTGGCCCAGGGACCAATATCCCCAACATAACATTGTTCTTATCTTTCAGGGAGTCATGTAGCCTAGAAGAGAGTTTGGGGGAAACAAAGAAAAAAACAGTTTTAAGAAATTTTTAAAATTACTGATCAGAAAGTCAATAAGTAATATAACCATTTTTTCTTTTTGCACAGCAACTATTGTTTATTTGCATTTTATGTGGTGCGGGGATTGAACCCTGACTCTTGTCATACTAGACAAGTGTTCTACTATGGAGCTCTATCCCCAATTAGTCAATATTTAAAACAACTCCCTCCTTTATCTTGCATCTCTAAGTAAAACACATTAATATTGCTAAAAGTATTTTAAGTTGTAAAGGTGCTGTTTTATATTTTAGTAAGAGTTGAAAATAATAATTATAAACAAAATTTGAATGAATGAACACAGAGAATATGGTTTGAGAGTCCTGCCTACAACAGACTAGCTGAAACATTTGGCAAACCATTAAGGTAGTAACAGTTTTTAAATTTCTCAGGACTTCACCTTATCTTTTCTCAATACTTCTTTCATTTGTATTTTCTGCTTATTTGATTTTTAGAAAAATATTTGAACCAATTAACTCCTTTAGGTAACCTTACTTGGTCAGCTTAGTTAATAGTACTTCACCACTTGACAAAAAAAAATTGAAAAATGGGAGAAAAAGTTTTCTTCTCTTACCCATCATCCACATTTGAATAAAGCTTCATTTCCTACCTGAGATAGGTTGGACTCATTCCAGTGACCATCAGCCTACATCCCTCTGACATGGCTACCATCCTGCCTTAACTGGGAGCTTTCTCTCTATACCTTTATAACCTAACTCTCCACCAGCTCGAACTTCCTTCAAGAGAGACGGCAGAATGACACAGGTATCTTCTATTTAGCAGGTAATGAGCCAGGCTGATTGGTTACTGCTGACAGTAGTCTAAAGTTTCAAAAGCTTTTAAAAATACATGCTTCTTTTTCATACAAACAAAAACAAAACGCCATCTCTTCCTACTAGCTCCCACCCACTGGTATGGTCAGTTAATAACAAGTGTAGGTGAGGATGTGGACACACTAGAGTCCTCTTTATTGATGAAAGAAATGTAAAATAGTGCTGCAGCTTTAGAAAACCATGTAGCAGTTCCTCAAAAGGTTAAAGCACAGAGTTTCCACAGGTCCAGCAATTTCACCAAGTACATACTCAAGGGAATTGCAACAATATGTCCACCAAGAAGTTGTGCATAAGTGTTCATTAGCAGTAAGAGTCACAATATTAAAAGGTGCAAATAAGCAAAATGGCCATCAAGTGATAAATGAAATTCCATATGTCCTTTCAATTATTATTTGGCCACAACATGGACAAACAGTGAAAAGACTGTGCTACATGAAAGACCACATGTTGTCTGATTACATTAAATGAAATGTCCAGAAAACGGCAAAATAATCCAGTAGTTGCCTAGGGCTGGAGGAAGGGAGGAAATGGAAAGTGACTGCTCCTGTTCTTTGCGGCGGTGGGGGGGGGGGGGCGCTTGAAATGTAAAAAGACTGCAAGTTTGGAAGATAACCAAATTAGATTCTCTACGGTAGAGAAGGACTAGTGAATTTTGAAAACAGTGATATCTAACATCCAGTTTGAAGTTGTTGCCTGTCCTAGAATTACTTCTCAGAATCTCAAACTTTCCATCAGAGATATGATACCCTCACAATAACAGCATTTTACCAGCAGCACTGAAATCAAAAGAATCTTGGGACAAAATAAAAACCCATGGAGTCCCTCATACAGACTGAAGATTCCGTGCACAGAAAGAACTTTGGGCAAGCCATGATAGAAGAAAAACATCCTTCTCCCCTCAGGAATTCTCAGAATTTTGGGGAGACACTAAACCTCTAATCAAAATGGTCTTGGGCTTAAGTCACTATACTGGATACTAAAGGAAATAGGGCAGAAGATTGGTCTTAGGCACATTCAGATTAGATTTCAATTTCTGAATATAAATTTTAATTATAACATTGAACATACTTTTCTAACTATACTTTTTAAAGCTGTTGTTTGCACCACACTGAGAATCCCAGTTTCAGGTTCTAGAGGAAAGTATCAGGCTGTTCAGGCAAGAACGTAGAGGTGTCTTACCCAATCTTTGGCCAAGGATAGGATGGATTCTAATGGAAATGGAAAAGTCATACTTTGAATTATAGTACTAGCCAGAACATATCAAAGCCAAATTTATCAGCCAATCTATGAGAAATTTTTCACTAATTTCTATGAGTATAAAGGTACAAAGGAGATAGAAAAGAGTCCTTCCTGTGTAAACTCAGCTACAATTGAAGATTACAGCATAAAGTTAATTCTTTCATCCCTACTTAACAACAAATCCATACTTTGTCCTCAACTTAGTGCCACTGAATATATTTGAATATACAACTTAATATCTCAGCTGTGCTATGGTAAGTCTGACTTAACTCTCTGAATGTTTGAGGCTTTCAGGAAGGACACAAAAACATAAAACTGAATTAATCTACTGTCTTAATCAGAAAGTGCTGCTTTGTTCCAAGAGTTTAATTTTTTGTCCAGATTCTAGACTAAGAAAGTATTAAGCTTAAGTGTTATTCTTTTGCTGGGCACCAGAGCTCAAGCCTGTAACCCTAGCCACTTGGGAGGCTAAGATCATGGTTCGAGGTTTGAGGCCAGCCCAGACAAATAGTTCACTAGACCCTACCTGCAAAATAACCAGAGCAAAATGGACTTGAGATGTGGCTCAAGTGGTAAAGCACCTGCTTTGCAAGTGTGAAGCTCAGAGTTCAAACTCCAGTCCCACCAAAAATATATATAATATACATATACATACATAATATATATACATATTACATAAATACATACATATAATTCTTTGGATGAATTGCAAATGGGGGAAGCTGAAAAGTTCAAATGGAAATGGTGATGGTTCAAGGATAAGATCACATAATCTAATCATAATTTAATTTTCCCAACTTGCTTAATTGTTGTTACCCACACTAATTCCTTTCTTCATTTTAATGTTTCACAATTGTCTTATCTCTACCCAACAGTTAAATAAACAACATCATACTCCACTACACCCCAGTTATTGTGCTAATATGCATTTTGTATCATCTTATTTCATCTTTACAACAACCCTGCACCATTAGTACTATTTTTAGGCTTATTTTAAGATAAAACAAGATTCAGAGATATTAAGAAGCATGCCCAAGGTCACACAGCTGGAGGGAGGTAGCTAAACCAGGCTATACATATGAGCCTGACACTAATATCCACAAGTACTCACAGGGCTAAATTGCCACCATGATAGATTTATCATGGTGTCAACTACAACACTGTAACACACAAGTAAATTGTAGTCAGTATAGAATACAAAATGTCCTGAAAACATGAAAATAAATTGCCCTCTGAGAGTGAAACCAGTCAGAATTAAGAGATAATAAATGAGATTAGGTAGCTATAGGATTAGTCAAGTATAAATAATGTGTCCAAAAATATAGTATCAAGAAGTCAGACTGCCTATAATCCTAGCTACTCAGAAGGCAGGCAGAGAGGAAAGTGTCAAAGTTCTAGGCTAGCCCAAGCCTGTCATCCCATCTACACTGGGAAGCACAAATAGGATCACAGTCCAAACCAGCCCAGGCAAAAAGCAAGACCCTTATCTCAAAAATAACCCATGCAAAAAGAGCTAGTGGAGTGGTTCAAGCAATACAGAACCTGCCTAGAAAATACAAGGCCCTGAGTCCAACTCCCAGTACCACCAAAATAATAATAATAATAAAAAGAATTACTGTATGTCTATACAATCTGTAAACAAAGCTCACAGTAGGTTTATTTGTACTGAACAAAAATGGCAACAACACAAATGTCCACTGGGAGGAACAAAGATAAACAGATTGTAATATATTCAAACAATGGAATACCATTCATCAATAAAAAAAATTTATAGAGAAGGGAAAAACACTATGACTAAAACACATTTAAAACTTTTGACTGACAATAATGGTACCTATTATGGAGTGCAATGTATATATATCTGTATCTATAGATATGTATATGATATACTTATCATTTTTTACAGTAAAAACATTAGAATTTTAATTTCTCAGCAATTTTAAAAAATACTCACCCTTTAGTATCTGGAATGGATTGGATCCAGGAACCCCCAACACACATACTAGGATACCAAAATTCACAGATTCTCAAATCCATTATATAAAATAATATAATATTTGTAGATAACCTAAGCAACCCTTCCATATAATTTCAATAATTTCTACATTACTTAAGTATATACTTAATGCAATGTAAATGCTATGTAAATAACTTGTTATTCTGTATTGTTTAGGGAATAATGACAAGAAAAAAAGGTGTGTACATATTCAGCACAGACACAATTTTGTTCTTCCAATATTTTCTATCCATGGTTGGTTCAACTCTGCAAATGATGGAACCCATGGATATGAAGGGCTGACTGAATACAACATGGTATATTGACTAGAGTCACCATGCTGTGCAATAAATCTCACAAATTTAACTTCCTGTTTAACTGAAACATTCTACCCTATACTAACCTAAAATACATATACTGTAAAAGAAAGCTGCATCCTAATGTGGTCCTTCTTTCTAAGCAATGAAGATTAGTTTTGTTTTCTTTTTTAAATCCTGAAGTTTGTAGTATCTATTAGTTTTTTTCTGACAAACTCTCTTCCCAAGTTCCTCTTTATCAAGTTGTAAACTCCACTCCCCTATTGAACAGGGTGGACATGTCCCTGGCCAGCCTAATCAGAAAATGTCACCCCTAAGCCAGATCACTCACACCAGGACAGAGAATGTCATTCCTAAGGCACAATACATGACCACACCACGCTAATCAGAAAATGTCACCCTTAAGCTGTAAT